TCTTCAACATCGAATTGTCTCGAGTCCAACTTGCTACCTCAACAGGCAGGTGTCTGGCTCGTCTCCTTGGTAGGTAGACTCCCTTTAGCTACTCGATTTACGTGGACCATCTTCGAAATCCTACCAATCCCAGAGAAAGGCATTGTTGTGGCATTGTTTTTCAATAACCTTCTAAATGATCAGTTATTTAGGGATCAATACCTTTGAATGATATGTCATGTTCATGCAAAAATGCAATAATCGTAGACAAAAGGAAACCAGTGTTAGTAGAAACAAAACAACAATAATCAAGTTAGTTGAAATGATTAGTCCAGAAATGTAATCTTAGCAAAAATAAATAAATATGACTCGAAGTTGAGACTGAAAAATAAAGCATACAAAGGAAATTAATAATCATAACAGCATGTGTTCTAGTTCTCCTAGGTTATCCACATGGTACTAGCGGGGTAGGCTTACTAAATTCTCTATATGAGGCTGGGTTCTAGCAAAGGGTACAACCTGCTAAGGTTGCCCCCGATTCTGGCCCATTACAGACTTGCAAATCGAGTTTAGCTCAGGGGATCACACCACTAAAAGCTTACCTCGGATCTGATATCCGGATAAGCAACTTAGGGTGCTTTCCAGAGATACTTTGTTAGACCCACACAAGGAAGCCTAATGCTTCTCGTGAGGTGTGACGTTTCTCTCTACTTAGGTAAACCGGGTTTGAGCTCGGGTTTAGAGCTATGATATGAACCAATTCTAAATATCACATAATTGTAAGCATTAATCAGAGAGAAAATCTTTTTTTCTTTTTGAAATAACATAATGAACCATAAATTAAACAAGATTGAACTAATAATTTCCAAATAATAAATATAGGGTAACCAACTCGTGGCTCGACTCTCAACTTATTTTAAAAACAAAAGTCCCCAGTGGAGTCGCCAAGCTGTCGACACTATTTTTCGTCGAGACTGGGAAAAGTCGATATCGACTCGGGGGTTTTCTTTTTGAAAATATTTCAAAAATGTGAGGAGTCGCCACCAATCATTTAAGGTGAGATTGGAACACTGTAAAAATCGAGTGATTTTAATAAAACATTTTTTTTATCAAAATACCGAGTTTTAATGTCTGCGAAAATCCAAAAATCAGGTTCGGGAGTCAGTTACGCGTGGGGAAGGATTAGCACCCCCACAAGCGCTCAAAAATTGGTACCTAGTTGATTACCCTATATTTAAAATTAGAAATTTTGAGTTCGATCTTTATTTAATTTAAAAATCATTAAGGATGCAAAGTAGAAAAGGGTATTCGTTTATTGAGACCGATAGCATTCACCCCCGAGCGTAAATGCGGGAGATCAGCTATTGGGTCTAATAACCGAACATTGCCTCGTTTTTAGAAAACATGATGTGGTTTTGAAAAGGATGTCAACTTATTTAGGGAAATACCAATAGTCGCCTCCTGAGCACGATCGCGGAGGATATACTATTAACCCCTTAATAAGTGAAAAGTGCCTTAAGTTTTAAAAGCAATGCAATCAAATAAAATTTTATTTAATCCTAATTATTCTAAAAATAAATTAAAACTTTTTCTAGCCTACGGTGTCAAATTATTAAAATTAAAGAACCTAGGGGATCAAACCTAAAAATTATTTTATTTTTAATTAATTATTGAATCGAATAATCGAGATGGTCCTTCGAGCATATACGTGAGAACAGAGTCGAATTATCCCCTACATTAAAAGACTAATTTGAAACCTAAGCTAAAATAGAGGCTCCATCTAACCTATTTAATTATGTCAAAAGGATAATCTAGTTAAAAGTTTAGGTACGTGAAAATCTTTACTTAAGGTTCAATCTATTTCAAGTTAACTAAATCCAAGACTAAATTACACAACCTAAACTTGTCGGAATTAAAAGTAATTAAACCAACTCGAAACATGAACCTTTTTAAAAGGAAAATATGTAACGAATAAATAATTATAGAAAGAAATGAATGCACAGAATACCAATTGAATGCTAGAAAAAATTAAATAAGAATTGGAACAGATAAAGGACAAAAGTATGAAACATATTCAAAATGGTAACTAAATAAAGGGGGGAACGAAATCAGTGTAGACAAACAGTAAAATTAAAGGAAATAATTTATTAAAATGGTGTTAACTTTACATCTATTATAATAGATTTGGGAAAACAATAAGATATAAATGGAAATAATTTAAACGTGTGAGATATAAACAATTAATTATATAAAAGGAAATATGCATACAAGGATATATAAAGTGTAATATTAGTATGAGAAAGTCAGAAATAAAAATAAACACAAATTAATTCAGCCTAAAATATAAATCAAGATAAAATATATAAAAAAAATTCAAATGCATTATTTGAGAAATTCAGCCTAAAATATACACAAATTAAAGGACCTAATAGAAAATAATCCAATAGATAATAACACATATAAAAACGGTAAATAACGAAAATGATCCTCCCTTGGGACCGGAATGCAAAACACGAAATAAACTAAGGGGATCTAAAGCGAGATAACCCATTAAGTATCCTTATATAACACACTTTTCTTCTTCTTTTTTGTTTCATTTCATTCCCAACCCCTAAAAAAATCTAAACACACTCAACTTTCCCTTTCCCCCCTAGGTGAGAAGTTCGCCGAAGCCCAGCGCTGCCGTTTCAACCGCTGCTCCGGCCTCCACAGACGGTGGTCGGAGCCCTCAACCAAACCCAAAACACTTATCTCTCTCCGATCTACCCTCTTTTACCCCGGACCTCACACCGAAAACTCCAAAAAGTAACCTTGGATCTACTCGAAAAGAACTTGACCTTTCGTATGCCTCGTACTCAAACGACCCTAGACGGCAGAGCAACCCCTACTCACCGCAAAACCTATCCTTTAAAAGCTAGGTCTACTCCTAAAACCAACATGCAAAACGCCTTTGAACCCCTAGAATCCCCTATCTCTTCGACTCCCTCACTATCAACCTACATCGGCGACCCCTACTCCTGTGAGACTCCCTTCCTCGGGTAATCACTAGATCTTCTTCCTTATTTTTTACTGTAAAATGCTCATTATTTATCATTTCTATTGGTTATTTCGAAATTAAATGAAGAGAAAAAAAAACGAAAAAAAACAACCTCTAAAATACTTTTGTATTTCTGCTGAAAAAAACCGAGAGCCAAAAGGCCTTACAATTGTTTCACTCTTTTTTTGTTCGAATCCCCCATTACATTTCGTTCAGTTCTTTTTTTATAGTTGAACTTTACGTAAGTTTAACATAAAATAAGGAAACTAGTGGGGTGGTTGCGCGCAAATTTCTGCAGGAATCAGGGTATGATGGGCGTTGGTGTTGAAATATGAGAGTTGGTGGAATTGATGTTGCAGGTGGGGTAAGAGTATTGAAAAAATGGTGCTTACAATAATTAAACATTTTTCTTATTATCTATCAGTAAATTAGTAATTATTATTTAGACTTTTTTTAATGCAATATTTTTTAAGGTGGCTACTAAAAAATTATAAAAATAAAAAACGAAATGCTCTCAGGCTTATCGATTCGAGTTAGATCTTGTTCGACTCAACTCGTTAAGGTCTCGAATCGAACTCAAGTTTAAGTTTGGGTCGAGTCAACTCGAGTCGAGCACTGACCAAGTTTTAACCAAGTCAAGTTCTAGTAGTTCACGAGCTGGTCAACTCATTAATCACCCCTAGTTTACATCATTATCAATTAACAGTAATGTAAATATAGTTAATATACTGATAAAAAAAATTATTAATTTTTACGGTTAGAGGGTTTCATTAGATATAAAATATTGAACAAGTTTAATTGATTTTTTTTAAAGAGGAAAGATTTATATACTAAAAAGCCTAACAAATTTAATTTCAATATTTATAATTTTATTAATTCAATGATAATTCTAGAAAAGTAATGTTAATATTGAAACATTTTGATTATATATAACCTTAATACTAAATTAGTATTACCAGATGGAAATTTCAATTGTTTGGGTGGTGTAGTTGCTTATCACACTAGTCACACACTAGAGGTCCTAGGTTCGAGCACGGGCTTAGACAACTATATAGTTTGACAACAGTCTGAACATTTTTTGATGCATGAACGGATTAACATAAATACCACTGAAACTTGTATTACATTAAAACTAACATAAATACCACAGAAACTTGCATGTTTTACGGGTGCATCCTTCTATTACATTAACGGATTAACATAAATACCACAGAAACTTGTTGAGGATTTTGTAGATTTTCAGTGGTTTTTTCTTTTCAAGGAGTTCATTGATTTTAAAACTAACATATTAGTTGACATAGTTAATGATTTATTATAACAACTGATGTGCATATTACCTTATTTGTAGGGCAAAAAGGTGATATTACTCATGATTTTACAGTGTGTACCTCTACTGTAACTACCTCATGGATGCTCTTCTGCAATGCCAACTTTTTTTCGGATAGACAGTGGAGAATCCTGTCATGTCCCACTGTGATGAAAGGAAGAGTAGTTGTCGATACACGTGTTCAAAGCCGTTGAAAGAGAAGCAACCCTCACATTTGGGAAGAAGAATCATATGCAAGTTGGTGGGCGCAATACAAAGATATTGCCTCCCCCGAAAGCCATCACATTCTCGAACTTTTCCTGCAAATTGGATTCAAAGGAGGCGATCGTGGGAATCTGGTCTAAATGAGTAGCTTGCCTCAGAATATTTTCAAAGTTATTGGTTTGAAGCATCTAGTTAAAGCAGAGATTGTTTTCAATGTTCTGTCAAACAATGGAGTTTACTCTATGATGTTCCCTATAAATACTCCACCATCGGGAGCTTAAGTTTCAGGTCCACCAAGGTTTTGGACCCTTTTCACTCTTTCTCAAACTCCAACCTCCCACCACCATTCAGTCGAATGCAGTGATCCGATAGTCGTTAAGTTTTAAAGTGAAATCGAAAAAATATCTTGACTTCTCTCTGAGCTTTAGCATTTTCTTCGTCCCACGTTAAGTGTAACGACCGTCTTCACTGCAGAAGACATGGACAAGGTGATGAGATTGGCCTCGGATAGTGGAGTGGTGCTGTTCAGCAAGAGCTCATGTTGCCTGTGTTTTACGGTCAAGATTCTGTTCCAAGACCTTGGGGTGACCCCGACGGTTCACGAGATCGACCAAGACCCTGAAGGCCGGGAAATGGAGAGAGCCCTGATGAGGTTGGGGTGCAACACGCCGGTTCCGATGATCTTCATAGGGGGAAAGCTGCTGGGATCCACAAATGAAGTCATGTCCCTCCACTTAAGTGGAGGGCTGATCCCTTTGCTGAGGCCGTATCAAGCTTTGTATTGAACTATAATACAAATCAAAACTCTTTCTAATTATGACATTGAAAGAAATAAATTGACTAAAAAATCAGTAGCCTCTCTGGTCAGCTGTACGTATTGTGTATCTTCTTTTTTTCCATGTTAATCTCTCATGAGATATTCTATAGCTTTGCTTTAGCTCTCTATATCAATGTAAATTGTTCCTATTTCTTAATGAAGTTTACTTTCTATATGTACTTCTGCTTAAGCCATTTATACAGACTTACAAATGTTGATATATATATATATATATATATATATACACCCTAGCAGTCATAACATCAAAATTTGAATAAATAAGTCATTTTTTCAATACACCAAATTCTATGATCTCAGAGTTATAGATGCTAATCATAAAGTGATTAGTTTGAAGCATCTTCACAAAATCCTCCATGATCAACCTTTCCATCGCAGGCGTCGATCATAAGGATAATTCAAAGTTTGTTACTTTTGAATGGAGTAAAAAATGATAGGGTAAAGTATATAAATGGTCCCCGAGTTTAAGGTGTTGCTTTGTTGACTCCCTTGACTATTGAAAGTTAAAAAATGGTTCCTGACTAGAGGTCGTTGCTTTTTTGAGTCATCCGACTATTAAAGTTGCAAAATGGTCACCCAACTATTTATATATTCCAAACTCATCATTTTCCGTTAAAAAATTGACGGTCGTCTAAGATGGACGCTAACCTATTGATTGTGATATGAGAAAATCTTATCCATAACCGTTTTATCTGTATTTCATGGATCAAATTTCTGTTTACATTATGTCGTAAGCTAGTGCTTGAAACATTATGTTGGCGAGTCAATACTTGAAAGCAATGGTGATGCCAATAAACATCATTAAAATATGATTTCTACTATATCTCAGTCAGCAGGTTAACGTCCAACTCATACAAGCGTTAACTTTTTAACATAAAAAGGACGATTTTAGAATATCTAAATAGCCAAGTGACCGTTTTATAACTTTTAATAGTCGGATGACTCGAAAAAAAATCATTTTATAGTTAGATGACCAAATTTTAACTTTTAATAGTCAGTATACTCAACAAAATAAAATCCAGAGACCATTTATTGTTAGTCCAATCTAATAATTTATACTATAATTTTTTTATATATTTGTTAGTGTCACTTTTTCCATCTAGAAGCAACATGGGTAAGTTTCTCAACATTGGAAACCCTATTGCATTCCAACAATGTAAAAATAAATACTCTATACGTTTAAATAAATTTGTTCATTTTAATTTTTAAAATTATCTAATTTAAAATGTCTTATTAGAAAATTTAATAAAAAACATTTATATATTTTTATCCTTATTTGTCTCATTATTTTATATCTATCAAAACAAATCGGGTAAACTATGCGTTTAGTACCTAAACTATTAGTTTTTGTTCATTTTAGTACCTAAACTTTCATTTTTTTAAACCATACATAACATTTAATTATTTGTTTCATTTTAGTACCCTCTGTTAAAAATTTAAGGGATAGTATCGTCGGCCATCACGTCTACAGTCGTCGGCCGTCGTATTCGTCGGTTGATGAAACTCAAACTTTCCAGCCCGTACCTTTTCAACCCCCTAAATATGATTATGGCCTATATTTCATTGGGAAACACTTCAATCACCCCAAATCGAAGATGGACTCTTCGATTTCTTCTTCCTCTGATCTCCATGGTTTATCGTCTGATGGGCCTGAAACTGAACTATATTGGTCGACTCGTCATTCTCTCATGGTCCACCATTCAGATTGGTCGTCCTTCCACCAGAGCTATGACACATCAGCCCGTTTGTTAAGTTTTTAACGACAGTGTACTAAAATGAAACAAAAACTGAACGTTAGGTATGATTTTGAAAACAAAAATGAAAGTTTAGGTATTAAAATAGACAAAAAATGATAGTTTAGGTACTAAAAGCGTAATTTACTCCAAACAAAAATGTCAAATCTATCAATCAATTTTTAGGGATAATTTTTTCATTTTCCTCATTTTATACAACTTAACACGTGCTTAGATTTATCTCCTAAAACTATGTAATTAGCCAACATGGAACAAAAATGATGGGACAGAGGGAATAATGTTTAAAAATTAATTTACATAACTTTTTATTTTAATCCTAATCCCTACGTATTATACACTCTAAACTCTAAATTTTAAACCTAAACTATAAATTTTATAACCTAAAATCCAGAGTCGACTCAAATTTTCGGGCTCGAGCAAAAACTAAAATATTGGCCCTACATAACGAAAGCATATTCCATTACTTTGAAAATTTAATTTAATGTTTTATTAATAAACTACATAAACATATTTAAACTTTATCAAACACGTTACTTTTATTGTTTTATTAAGAAAACACTAAATACAACTAAAACAATAAAGACAGTCACTAACTTATAATATTGTCAAACATGATTATTTTATTATTTTATGAAGCTGGAAGATGGGGCCTAGACGAAAGCTCATAATGCGAATTATCAAAAGGAAAAATGTTTTTATTAATATCTATACTATGTGTGAATTGTGTTTTTAGTCATTATGCTCTAATTGATCAATTTTAGTTCATATATATTTTAAAATTTTAAATCTGAATAACAATTCAAACAGTCAACGACTATATGACTAATCTTTTAAATATGTTATTTTATATTTTTATGATTTTTATTTTTATTAACAAAATAAATAATCGGTGATACTATAAGATTTGACACTATTATTTAATCTTCAATTATGATTAGTTTTTTTTATAAAAAAAGTGATTATTCTTTATATGCAATTTATGATCTTTATTGAGATACATGTGAATTTTACAAACACCAATCAATTACTACTACTTTGTTTTTTAATTTAAAACTTCCACCATAAGGGGTTAATACATTGTCATTATTTTTTTATTTTATCAACATATAATTTAAAGACATGTTAATTTAAGTTTAAATCTTAATATTTATATGTCTATATTTTAAAATCAACCAAATTATTGTTTTTATATTTTTTTCTTCAATGAACTTATTTCATATGAGAAATCATAGAAAATTTATTTAAATTAAAATAATAATAATTAATATTATAATTAATATATTTTCATAAAATAAATGAATTTAATTCTAATAGTAGTTTAACCTAAAAACTATTTTCCTATCAAAAACAAATATTTCTTGTTAAGTGTAGTGGTTAGTCGTTGCCTTCTCCTAAATGTCCTAGGTTCGATCATCTTAGAAATCATGCATTGGATTATGGCTTTTAAAGCTAGAAAGTTGCCCATAATTAAACATGTTGGAAGCATTTAGGTATAAAGGCTCGATGATGATATTTCTGGTAGTATAGTTAGTCTTTTAGCCTTGTAAAACCTTAGCTATAAGATCTGAGAGCATTTATTTCAACATAAATTTATTTTGTTTAGTTGATTTTATTGTATTCAAGTGTGATAAAATTAACTTCATTTATAAATTTTTGTTTTAGTATTTTGTTATGTTATTCAAGTTTCAAATCTTTAATAAGTTCATCATTTTAACTAATATATTTTTATTTTAAAAATTTCAAGTTAAGTTATACTTAAATTATTAATCAATTTTCACATTAAAAGTAAGATTTATGAATATTTTAACTCAATTTATATAATTTAATAAAAGCATGTTCAATAAGACAATATCTAAATTTAATTTAGTGATTATAAATAAAATTTATAATATAAGAATTATAAATAATATAAAGAATTGGAATTAATCTAAAAACTTAATTTATAATATACAAATTATAATGAATATAAAAATTAAATTTCAAAAAGTAATCATATTAATTTAATTATCATAAATTTATTATAAATTTAAAATAACATAATTATATTAATGGTAACTTATTACTTATAAGTTAGGTAAATATTAGACCACTTTAACAACATGTCGGATCATTTACAGGTTGAGTCAATTACATGTCAGGTTCATAACGGGTCAGGTAGAAAACAAGTCGGGTAATACCAGTTATTTACCAGGTCAATCTCAGGTTCGAGTTCATATTAGTCGGATGCAGTTCGAGTATCATATTTCAGTTCAATTCGGGTTCAGGTCGTTCTCAGGTCGGGTGCAGGATGGGTTTAGATCCACAATTTCCAGGTCCAACTCGAGTTCAGGTCAACACCAGTTCCGACTCGAGTCGATTTCGGATCGCCACAATACATGTTAAAAATAATTTTAACTCGATTCGATTTCAGTCAATTTTACAAGTCAGGTTGGCTTCTTACACCCCTACGAAACTAATAGTGCATGTTTAAATGGAAGGACAGCAAAAGATTCTTAGCATCATGGAAAAGATACAACCAAAGCAGTGTAGATAGATGGAATGTCTTATATCTTTGTCACACACTTTAATTAGTAAGGTACTCTAAATTTTTACTTTAAGGTAAGTCTGAGGTTTGAACTCATACTTTTTATAAGTATTGTTTTCATATTTTTAACTTTAAAATATCATTAATAAATTTAAATTGGTAATATAATTTTTTATTTGTATTCGAACATATTAATTTAGACGTACTATTACTAAAAAAAATAAATGATGGAATTATTTTAGCGTACCAAAGTTAAAGAAGTAATAGAAATGAATCAAGTTGAAATGCCATGGAAAGATACTTAATATCCATAGAAAAGATAAAATCAATTAAAGTCTCAACCAGTTTGAGATTTATTTATTGATTGAGTTGTCAATAATATTCGTATTATCTCATTTTGTATAAATTTCAATCTTAATATTTATTCTTAAGAAAATTTTAAATATTTACCATGAAAATATAATATTCGAGTTATACTGATTACAGAAGAAATATCTTACGTTTATTTTCCCGTTGGTTGCATGATCTATGCCAATTTTATATGAGAATAGGAGAGTAAATAATGTATTTTAGATAAATTATTAAAGTTGTTTTTTAATTATATTTATCATGATTTTTAAATGACATTAGGATATTTTAGGTTGAAATATTTTTTAATTAATCAATAAATTATAAGTTAA